TAAATAAATATCAGCCTGAAATGATACATTAGACCAAATGGATATAATTGATATTTACGGAGCCTTTCATCCCAGAACATCAGACTATACATTCTTCTCCAGTGCACATGAAACATTCTCAAGGATATACCATATGTTGGATTACAAAAGTAGCCTCAACAAATTCAAGAAGATTGAAATCATACCAAGCATTTTCTTTGACCACAATGCTTTGAAATTAGAAATCAACTGCAAGAAGAAAGAAAAGAAACACACAGACATGTGGAGATTAAACAACATCCTACTAAAAAATAACTGGGTCATAGAAGAAATAAAAGGTGAGATAAAAAGATATAGAAAGACAAATGAGAACAATAATATGACATATCAAAACTTCTGGGATGCAGCAAAAGCAGTAATAAGAAGGAAGTGTATATCATTGCATGCCTATCTCAAAAAATAAGCTACCTCCAAATAAACAATCTAACATCACATCTTAAAGAACTAGAAAAAGAAGAACAAAAGCAGCCCAAAGTCAGCAGAAGGAAGGAAATAATAAAAATTAGAGCAGAATTAACTAGAGAGTAAAAAGATTATACAAAGAACTGGTTCTTTGGAAAGATGAATAAAATTGAAAACCCCTGGCTAGACGCACTAAGGAAAAGGAGAAAAGACTCATAAACAAAATCAATAATGAAAGAGGAAAAGTTACCAAAGGCATCACAGATTTAGAAAGGATCACACTAGAATACTATGAAAGACTATATGTCACCAAATTCAATAATCTAGAAGAAATAGGTAGGTTTACAGATATATTTAACATTTACAGACTGAATCATGAAGAATTAGAAAATCTAAATAGACTAATCAACAGTGAGGAAATTGAAAAAGCCTCCCCAAAAATAAAAGTCCAGGACCAGATGGCTTCATTAGTGAATTCTACCAAACATTCAAAAAAAGACTTGATACCTATCCTTCTCAAATTCTTCCAAAAAATTGAGAAGAGGAAATACTTCCTAACACATTCTACAAGGCCAACAAAACCTGGCAAGGATGACACACACAAAAAAACTATAGACAATATATCTAGTGAACACAGATGCAAAAATCCTAAATAAAATACTAGCAAATTGCATTCATCCTCCCTTTTCTGTATGAACTGTGTTTAAGGGTAAGCAGGTAACATTTGTTGAGGGAAAGTTCTTTGTGGAATTTCAGTTAGTGGAAGTATAAAAATTGGCAGGGTTAGAAAATAATGTTGCCATAATGAAATAATTTATTCAGGCCATGATTATCAGTTTCCTCTGATGAAACTAGTATTGTAAAAATGGTCATGTGGGAACTTTACAATGGAGGGATCAGGCTGCCCAACTTGGACCTATTGATTAACCTCAGTCTTATGAAAAGTAGGGGAGGCAGAAAGTTTGTGCCGCCTCCTGTAATATACATGAAACATAAAACATCAGCTCTGAAGTTTTCCAGCCAAAAATGTTGAACCCATGTCAAATCAGATTCTACCCAAGGGTTGGCAAATTATATGGCCTTTGAGCCAAATCCAGCCCACTGCCTGTTTTTTGTTTTGTTTTCTTTTCATAATGTTTTATTGAAACACGCTACTCTGATGCATTCAGGTATTATCTATGGCTGCTTTCATGCAACAGTGGCAGAGTTGGGTAGTTGCAACAGAGATCATATGGCCCACAAATCTAAAATATTTACTATCTGGCCTTTTTAAGAAAAAGTTTGATGACTCTAGAGTTAGATGAACAAAGTTTAGTGACACCACTAAATGTGGGCCTCTTACTGGACAACAGATCTGGTTTCTGTAACAAGTCTGCAGTATGGAAAATAAGGGAGTATTACTATAGGTTGAGAGATTTAAACACACTAACCAAATGAAACATTAAGATTTCCTTTAGGTCCTGCTTCAAATAAACCAACTGTAAAAAGACATTTATGAGCTACCCAGGGAAATTTGATGATGGCTTGGCTATATTAAGTGATATAAAAATTATAATTAATTTCATTGAAGTAATATCATTGTAGTTAGGTAAGAGAATGTCTATCTATGTTTGTATTCATTCACTTGGGGGAGCACACCTATATAGTAGGGAGAAATATATTTACACTAGAGGCCCGGTGCATAAAATTCATGCACAAGGGAGGGGGTTCCCTCAGCCCGGCCTGCACCCTCTCTTCTCGCAATCCGGGACCCCTGGGGGGATGTCTGACTACCTGCCTGATCACCCCTAACCACTCACCTGCCTGCCTGATTGCACCGGACCACCTCTGCCTTGGCCCCACCACTGCGGCTTTGTCTGGAATGACATCCGGAAGGTCGTTCAGCTGTCTGGTCTAATTAGCATATTATGCTTTTGTTATTATAGATTGGTACTTTTTAAAGTTATATGAAAAAAGGATAATCCTCAACTTCATATATGATATTTTAATAGGAAAATGTCAAGTTGATGGGATAAACTACAGGGTACTATTTTAAAGATTATGTGAAAGTGAAAAATTATGAGATGAACTTCATTAGAGGTAAATGAAAAGCTAGCCATTTGCTCATAGAAAAAAAAGAATTCTTTAAATAGATTTATTAAAGCCATTAAGAACCTAGGAGTCATTGAAGATCAAAAATGATGCAGAAAAGCATCATGCCTTTGGCTTGGTTCTCCCCCCGGGCTCCCTCTCCCCCAACCCCAACAAGTAGCTAAAGCTAATTCAGAGTTGAGTCCCTTTCTATCTAAAAATTGAAGCTGCTCCAGAGGTCTGAATAGTCATTTACCAAACATGTTACATTAAAAGGATAATGCAAAGAAGCAGCTCTCTAAACCTGTAATCTAAGCGAACAACTGGATCTGAAATCTCTTTCCTTTGTAGTTTTCTAACTTAATTCACTAATGAAAGAATGCCTGTCTTCCTCTTTCTATTTCTCTACCCTTTTGTTTCCTTTTTTTTAAATCCTCTAAGCAAACTATAACCTGAAATCAAATTGTTAATTATACAAAGGATGTTTTGTGCTTAATTTCAAGATCTGGTAATTTTGACTCATTAAATCAACAAACATTTCCTGAGATCACACTTTGTGTCAGAAACTGGGAAATAGGAAGGCAAATAAAGAGTGAAGAGGAGAAAAGAAGCAAAGGAAAAGAGACTTTTTTTTTTGCTCTAAAGACACTCAAAATTTGGTGTAGAAGATGGGTAAATTAATAACCCAGACAGGATGATAGGGCTGTGGTAGTAGTATGCTCATGAGTTAGTACTAATTTGATGTACGGTGGGAACGTTAAGGAGGACTCCTAATTCATCCTGAGATGGATGGAGATCTATTTCCTGAGCTGAGTTGAAGGAGTTAAGTAGGTAAGTGGCAGTGCACTGGGCTGTACCAGGCTGAGAAAAGGTGATGTTTAAAAATCTAAGGCAGGTTCAGGAGTAAATGATATGTAAGGGAGCTCCATTAGTGAGTATAGATTCTTTCAAAAAGTTTAACTTAGGAGGGAAAGACCAAGATAGGAAAGCAGAAACAGGTAGGTGCACTGGCAAGAAAGAAGTTTTCTTTTATGAAAGAGAAAGACCTGAATAGATCATCAGGAGGAGACAAAGGAACAAGAAGAAAGGAAAGGTCTGAAGGGAACAGAGAGAAGGGCTAATAAAGGATTCCAGGATCCAGAGTGATTGTAGACCTACTGTGTCCTTCGCTCCCATAATAGAATCTCTAATAAACTTGAACAATCTTCCCTAGCAATGTAATAGTTACCCTTCAAAATGTCCTGGTCTCTGGTCATATATCTGGTCACTAGAAGTATATTTGAATGGTTCCATGTCCCCAACTTTGTGATAGGATATATAGAAAATCAGGAGATACCAAAAAAAAGATATAATTTTGTCCCTAATGGTCTTAAGACTATTAGAGTTGTTGATATAAGGTTAAAAGAGATAATGCAAGGCATTTTTTTTTAATGTGCCAACATGTGTGACCCTAGCAATGGCCACACTGTTGACGGATTGAGCATGCTCTTAGGAGATACGATTTTTAAAGGTACATGATTCTTGCCCGACCTGCGTGGCCCAGTGGTTAAATGTCAACCTATAAACCGGAAGGTCAAGGTTCAATTCTAGGTTAGGGCACATGCTGGATGGCTTGCTCAATCCCCAGGAGGGGGTGTGCAGGAGGCAGTCGATCAATGATTGTCTCTCATCATTGATGTTTCTATCTCTCTCCCTCTCCTTTCTTCTCTAAAGTCAATAAAAATATATTAAAATGTATATATGTCCTTGAGTGAGGGACAGGCACACAGCTCTGGCCCTCTCGCT